AAACACTCTTTCCAATAAAATCCAGGCACGTAACGCTAAACCATGAAACGAATGGATGAAACGTGAAAAATGCTCTTGAAACACCATGTGTAATCCGCAAAATTTTTCACCCAGTCACGTACACGTAACGTGGATCTGACGACTTGTTTGCGCTGAGGCAAAAAACTTGTAAGCGAAATACACTCATTTGCGAACGAATTTGATTTTACGAGAGACTCACCTGGAAGCCAGATGAATCTCTCGTTTGTGACGTTTTTAACTATAATGTGTTTATCAAATGACTTATTGCATAAAAAACAGGTCAAAATGGATATAGCTAGAGGCGGACAATGACGTAGAGGCATCACCGGGACGGATAGAATAAAAAAACCTGTTGCGGACAGCGTGCTTAAAGATCTTGGCTGTTCAACATATGTTACAGCCTTTTCTTTGTGAGTTCCCACCAGACAGCTGTCGAAAGAAATGATCCCTTTTGAGAATATAAGTACCAAATTTAAGTGCATGGGTTAACAGCATTGCGAAATAACAAGCTTACACATAGTCATCTTATTCGCATGGTCGTTCAAAACTATGAACTATATATTATCTTGCCTTACTTCCCGTAACAGCTTCAAGAGTAAGAACCAGTGGGAAACTACAGGCCTTTGGGCAGTGGAATGAGATTTATTGATGTCTGGCGTTATGGATCAAGGTCGTTGGACATTATGAGCAAAATGACGTTCTACACGTTCTAAATCGTCAAACTAGTCTAATTGGACTATAGAAGAAACAGCGTCAGATGATTGGTCATCGTTTAATATACGCTTGAAAACAAACATTAGACACAGAATATGGACTATAAATATTCAGGAGATAAAGCCAAAATCCCAACCAATCAGTGACTTTCAATGAATATTTTCACAATGGAACGCGACCAAATTACTGAATCGATGTACGGACTAGGTGAGTGACCGGCAGCCAATCGAACGGAGCGGTCTAGTTTAAAGTAGAAATTAGGAGAATTTCGTGGTCACGGGATAATATTCATCATACAGACAAAAGGGAGGCGGTGAAGGACTTTCATTTATCCCCAAATTATTGTGAATCGTTGACTGACTGGTATCCCTTGTTTGACATATGAGGTGTTCAACTTGGAATTATAGTTAACGGGGGTAGTAAGCGAAAACTTCCAGAAACACTAACAATACAACGTTTTCCACTACAATCCAAACTTGAGCCCACAATCAACACCTAAGAAATTCTCGCCCCCCCCCCCTCAACAGGAAGATATCATGACATCACCTGTTTTACCATCGACCATGATATGCCACATCATTGTCATGCTAACCAAATGGTATTAGTATTAATCCTGATTCATACACATATACACACATATACCGGAAACAATAACCCCCTGTGGATTTGGTTTCTATAATTTAAGGAATACTTCGTATCTTTAGGTATTTTTGAACATCTTATACAGTTTTGATTTGGGGTGAAAGTGACTAGAATAAAATAGCGCTAACCTCGTCCCGATAAACACCTTATCGCATACCATCAGAATCCATACGGCTTGTAAAATTAGTGCTTCTGTGGCTATTTTTCGTCACAAGTTAGGTGCCAAAAATATTCCATCTAGATAAGCAATGAACAATCGTTAAGATGGAATATCGTGCAAGTCTCCTTAAAATTGGATCATTCACGTGGTTCAAAATAGTTATGTCGACAAGAATGATCGAAGACAGACTGGAAGCCAACAGAATGCCATAGGACAAACAGAATGGATCCATAGAATGGGCCCTAAATACCAGGATACTCTCACAAATATGAGCATTTCCAGTGCTTTCAAAAAAATTTACTCATGAGAAACTAGTTGTGCATCCAGTACTGCCAGATTGAATAGATCATTCAGTAACTGCGCAATTCGGATAGCATTATTGTTCTAAAAGCCTCCTCTGCAAAACCTAGCGATCGATCGTTGGCTTTTATCAGACGACTGCAGTATCGTTTGTGCTACTGAAAATATGATCGTCCTGAACCTTACTCCGATTGTCACCAGAATTAGCAGATGCAGTGTCTAAACAAGTCTGCGTTCAACAGTGAGTGATCAGCACTGGTCAGCTCATTTCAGTCAATCGATCATTAGGGTTAAAATTAGTTGTTGTGACAAGACCTGACAAACTTATTTTCTCATCCTGACAGAACAAATGTGAAAAAAATTCAGTGACCTTAGACGGCGTAAAAAAAGTAACCAACTGGCGTTATGACAGAAACAAATTTACTCAAAAACAACCCCCTTGGGACTAATCGTCTAAGCGGTTCAGAAAAAAGATGAGATTCATTTAAAAGAGGTGTACTTCTAGTGGGAGAAATATTCGAAGTTGCAGTCTATTTCCTGGTGTGAACTAACCAGGATGACTGTGTACGGTCAGGAAGGAGAAGCTGTTCGAAGCGGAGCAACGTGAATGTAAATCCAACAAACCTAGCAACAAGCTTCAACCAACAAAAAACTTCAATAGAGTTTTCTTTCTGCCAGTGAAACCAATCGACACGTGATCACGTGACGTGAGCTTCTAAGTGCCACATGAGCGAAAATGTTGACCTGTTCAGACTCGAGAATTCAACTGCCTCCGTTGTGTACCGCTGGAGCAGCAGTACTACGCCAAAAGCCAGAGGCTCTAGTGCTGACGCCGTGAGCCACATGCACTGCTGATGCGTTCTGATAAGAGTGAAACTCAAGTCTAACAGTTCTTCTAAGGTGTTGGCTTACCAGAACAATCGCTCAAGAACGGCGGTAGGACTGCGCCATCGGGAATGATATGAGTATACATTATTCCAGCTTCCTTAGAAGATAACGTAAGGAAAACAGTGGTCACATACACTATTGGTCTACTTTCAATTCTTCTGTTCCGTACTGTTTCCGAACACGGCCTATGACGTACGTGTTGGAAGCATGAGACAAACGAACTCGCACCAGCGGCGCTCAGACAAGAAACAGGAACTAACATAAATCACATTGGGACAGACGCAGCCCTTCAAAACAAGCAACAGCGAGCCAAAAAGAACACAAAAGTATTGGCGCATAACTTTATGTCACACCAGACCCAAAGCACTTCTGGTGGTTTACCCAGTATCTAGATCATGCAAATGCTTGCAAGATAGAATGGCACATTTTCACAACTCACCGAGTCTGTTAGATGGCGTCCGCTTGAAGAGCGCACGAAGGAGGCTTTGTGCATCCGGACTGAGAAATTGCGGCATCGCCAGTTTAGCTCTGTGTGGTAAACAAATCCAAATACCTATGTCACAGTTTCAAATAATTTTATTCAAAATGAACGAACATGACGCAGAATTACTGAATTTTGGATTTCAAGATGGTCATTTCGAGACAGTGGACTACCAAAGTCTTTTTCGAAAGTTATGCCACAGTTTCTGCAAAAATCTGTGGTCACTTTGGCTCTGATGTTCCTGATTTTTACGATAAATATTTGGCGTTTCATACTCGATTTTTGCTCATATTTTCTCAGGCTGCATAGGGTATTTATAAAAGTATTCCGACCCGTCTGATATCAATGAATCTGATCTTCCCAGTCTATCCACTGAGTTACATAGAATCAATGCACAAAGTAAGCTTTGTTAGGAGGTCGATAAGGCTAATCGTTGATAATGAGAAACCTTTAAAAAGTTACCACTAGCACTGAGCAGTGTGAGACTTATTTAGGTTTTCAAGCTTGCTCAGTGTTATGGTGCAACCCGCCTACATATGTTCTTGGGTGGCTTGTGATTGCGTGACTGACGAACACAAAGGAAAGCCGAAATAAGAAAACAAGCAAAATGCTCATCTGAAACACGTGCAACGACAGGCCAGTTACCACACAGTGGCCTTGAGGTAACAAGTGACAAAATCAGCCGAGTGCTTTCGAGTTCTAAACTCGTCTCTTGGTAAAATATAGTACCATACAGCCACTGTGTATCGTTTATCCTGTGCATCACGGTTTGTCTCATCAGCACCAAAAAAGAGGTAAGACTTCTTCACTGAGTGAAAAAGGGGGCGTGGTTGGGGACCGGCCGTCTACGTGCCGGCTTTCCGTCTTGCGCAGGTTGAAATTCAGTGCCCAAAAGCGGACATTTTTGGGATGATTGCTGACTGAAGAAAGATGAGTCAGTGTAAATCTTTTGCTAAAAGGTTTCCAAAACTATATTTCGGTTGATAGCTTGCACAATCTGCCGAAATTGGTCCATATATATTCAAGTGAACAAAGAATCCGCAGAATCTAAACACATGTTACGGAGTGTCTCGTACTTTCACGGGAAACGGGCGGTAACTTCTGCAGTCTCCCTTAAATATAATCGGTGATTCATTGATATGACACAAATTTTAGTTCCATTTTGGTACGGATGACTTTAATCAACAGAACATGCTGCTATTATGAACAAACGAAAATCAGGAACCATATTAAGAATACTTCCCCTCAAATGGATCCCGAATAGAGTTACACAGTAATTTCCCAAGTAAATTTAATCTCTTGTCCTCGAGCATTGAAGACAAATAAACCTATGTGGAACGCCATGTATAAACAAATAAGACAGAAACAAAGGCGCTAATACAAATATATGTGCGGATGAATTGCCGAGGTGCTAACACACACCAGAAAATCTGGCTTCTAATTGCGAATAGATACGGAAACAATGGTACGGAAAACTCCGATCAGCTGTCATATTCATCCAGACGCACGATCTGCGTGAAAAATCCGAAGTTAATGCGAAGAATGAATTCCGCTGAATAAATTCTTGGTTAGGAAAAATATAATTCTGGCTCCAGTCCACTAATAAACAAGACTCGCAGTTTTGGGAGGACTAGGGATACCTTTTCATGCACACTGGTTGTCCCCAAAAGGAAACTTTGTCAAGTTAACTTCATGGTGACAGAAAATTTACACTGAGAACAGCCACAAATATATTAAATGGAACCGGGCTATTAGAGACCCCATGAAGTACTAAGGAGCCAAAAGGGTGGGACCATAGGAGTATGAGGGGACGAGAAGAATACATGAGACCCATGGTTGACTGGGTTTTAAAATGGCAGCTTGGGACAACGAAACATCAACTACTATGTTTAGCTCGATCAGCCGCATTATGCAGCAGGATCTCGATAAACTAATGTACATGAGATAAGAAGACTGTCACACTGAGAAAGAGACTGTGGTCGTCTCGATGGATGGCAGAATTTAATGAGAATACAGAGAACACTAATAAAACAAGCCCCCCAGAGCAGAGAAAATGCTGGAGTTCAATAAAAAGAGTTTCCTGTCTTGGATTTCCGATAATTCGGAAGGCGTGATTTCTTGGTTTAAAAACAGCTAATTATCGGGGAGTATACTCATTTGCAACTCAATTTGGTTTTCACGCGAGACTCAATTGAATCTCTCGTTTATGATGTCCTCCAGCTGAATGTGCTGCACACAGGCCGCCTCATGATTCAGTTGGCACGATATTCGAGATATCGCAGTATATTTTCACAAAGGAAACTACTCACAAGGTTGCTGAAAACTCTTCGACAGCCTACAACCGGTTTTGCCCTTCTTGAGGCTCATCAGGTAGGCGCAGTTCTCAAGTTTCCATCAACCTTATGTTCTACTTGAACCCAAATTGCACTGTTTTCGAGAAATACACTCATTTGCAAATCAATTCGGTTTTACTTTATGAAAGGTGTGGTCTATCAGCTTCGTGCGACCGCTCCTAACGAATTTTTCGAACAACCGTCATGTAGTTTCGGCGACGGAAATTATTTTGCAGTGGACGAAGCCGGTAGCTTTGTCAAATCAGCGCATGAACAAGATCAGCTGATTGGAAGTGTTTCACAGTTGGAACAACTACAACTTACTGGAGGTGATTCTAACTGAACAAGGACCACGTTTCGAGAATGAAGAATTCAAGAGTTTCGTGCACTGTGTTTCTGCTAAAAAATAAGGGGAACAACCCGCCATTCATAAAAAAAAAACGTCCATACGGGATGCAGCAACCGAACTGCGTATAAATAGCTAGAAGCCAGAAGCATAGTCAGCATACCCTGCTGCATCACATGGCAGTATGGGCACGTCATCACTCATACTGATGAGCGGTTTGCGGGTCATCAAGTAACCCTATATTTACCAGCGATACAACTATCCTGGATACACTATAAGCAAAAGATATCGCAAGTGGAGTTGGAAGTGGTTCAGGAAGGAGTGAACAAGCAGACGAAAAATCAACTTCGCCTTGCAAACGCCATGAGAGGAATAATATAGGAACACAAAACTTGAGCTAGAAGACCTTCTGTTAGTGTTGGTTTTCGTAACAACGAGACACCAGTAATTGGAGGACCCAGAAAGGTCCGGAACTGGCATCCCACTTCCAAAGAGATAAAAGATGGACAAACGGCAAAAATCAGCCAACGTGTAGACAGTCGAGCAGCAGAGGTTTTCATGCCGATTCATAGAGGTGACAAATGTCTGACTGGTGCAAACTACCCATGAAAAATGCAAACAGTCCAGGTTTAGGCAGTCGAAGCTTGCATTTAAACTTGCTAACTGCTGCATCAAGGGCTTGGTTTCGTTGCTATAAGGCCCCACTATTGTGCTCAATCTAGTAACATAGATTTTCTGAAATTATATAAAGATGGTCATAGTGGTCTTGTACTTCTTAGTTTTTTGCGCTCACTTAATGCTCCGCGTTTGACCAACTTCTCCAGTAAAGGCTTTGTACACAATTCGAACAAGCCACGTGGAAAATAAAGCCACTGTAACCAATTAAAGCAACAGGGGAAAGTACAGAGACGTGAACAGCCGTCAAAAATGACCTATTCAGAAGAACTTGTTTCTATAGCATAAGGGACCAAAAGCTTGATTGATTAACCAGAATAATTACAAATTGATAGATGACTTTTCGAGCTTATGAGTGAACATAACCAACATGGCTGTAGTTTGGACCACTCGGGTGATTTATATTACTCAAAATGTATAGCAAGGACCTACGGAGTCGTATGAACAAGGCTAAAATGGAAATTGTAGTGCAAGGTCCTTCAGGCAGCAGGTGTGCTGGGGTTCCGTCACCAACCAGTGCCAGGCAAGCACTCCAGGGAGACTACCACAGGATAAGCGCTGAAGTCCTCCGGGACTACCAATTCGCTGGTTTGATGAAAGCAAGTTACTTCTGGCTTTAGGCACTGCAAACTGAGCTATGAGATAAATTTGGATGCTCAAAAGTACGTGATGTAGCTGTTCCTTCATCTAGACTGTTCACTTCTTTGGTATGTTCGTGACTAGAATGTGCATCCCGACGTAAAGTCATAGAACCACGTGTATTTTTCATCATCACGGTTCTCCCGATTGGTGACAGTGAGTAGCACTCAACAAGTCACAAATGCTAGTTATATAGTGATCTATCTTGAAGTGAAGCTTCCATGGGCTGCCTAAACCAGAACATGTTTCTATTCACTTACGAAGTGTGTGTTGCATCGGCAGTAACTACGATGGGAAATTCTCACACGGAATGCTGGTTCCTCT